TATCGGAACGATCCTTAAATTACCAAAACAATGGAAAATCCCATAACACCCAGTTATTGCTTGAACTCAATAACACATAAGAATGCCTGCAAAAAAATCCTACCATACTGAACCGTTACATTCTTCTCGTCACACATGTTGGCAAAAATATAAAAACACCTGAATGAAGAAAATAAAATAAAAAAGTAAATTATTCTTCTTTTCTTTCCGTCATAAAAAGCTGATTAACCCTTTGGGGGCGGACTTATTTTTTTCATAAAAATTGAAATTGTGTTGCCAAAATTAGTTATATTGTGAAAGTTATTAAGGGTCATAATTATTGCCCTTCGACCTCATTTAAAAGATCCAGCTGGTTTATTTTGAAATGAAAAAAACACGTTCGAAGAAAAAAACTACAAGTTTACCAAGGTATGAAATTTCTCGAAGCAATCAACTACTCAAAGACCCACGTCACAATCTTTACACATATAACGTGAATCTGTTCTCTTTTTAGGTCTTCTATTAGTATGTGCACAAACAGTATATTTTTTCTGAGGAGTTTTTCTTTCCGTTTTTTGAGGTACAAGGAGAAGGAAAATGTCTAGCAGTGAGTCGAGGTGGTTTACAGCTGTGTACAGGGCGCCCAATTGTAGGTTTTTGAGTATGATAGCTCTGTAAAATTTCACGTATTAGTTGTAAACGAAAGTCTACTAATTCAAATCTCTTTCCAGTTTCCATTTTGTAAAGTAAATAAGAGTTGAGAACTACTAAATAAAGCATATGAAAAAATAGTTTTCTATACCATGTGACAGATTTTCTTATACATTCAGCAAAACTAGTTTGCATGTAAACTTTGTCAATTGCTCATCTTTTAGAATTATAGTCAATTATTCAAAAATCAATTTAAAGGTTCTATTTTGACCTAAATAAATCGCTAAACATGGGTATGTTTACTGTTTTAACAGTTTCTTATCAGTGACTTGACTACTTGAACTCTGGAACGTCTCATTTGATAAAGAACAGCCTAGTTTGTAAATTCATTCCATTTAAGAGAGAGTCTGTGAAAGAACCACCTTACTCTCCATAAAGATCGCCGGGAGAAAATTGTTTTTTGATTTAATTATCTCGAATCAAAGATTTATTTAGTTAAATTTTAGTTAACTAGAAAATATTAGGTCGTTTACTTTTATATATGACTAACACCAGCTAAAATCAATTTAAAAGTTCTATTTTGACCTTAAAAAATTGCTAATTATGGATATGCTCAGCATTTAGACATTTTCCCATGAACAGTTTGATCATTTAAAATTCGAGACGTCTCATTAGATAGACAACAGCGTAAGCTATGCATTCGCCATATTTGATTGACCAAACTATGGACTAAAACAAATATTATAGATTAAAAGCCGCCCAAAACTCGTGAAATTGGCCCATCCACGTGGCTAGTATTTTAGACTTTTCATGAGTTGTGCAAGAGATCCCAAAATTCTTTTTTCACCAAACATAGATCTTCTGAAGGCGCATCTTTTAACATTCAACCATCAAGACTTAAAAATTTGGGAGCCAAGTTAGAATGGGCTACACTGGATTATTTTAATTTTACCTAGGAGGCATTGGACGTAAGCCACGCCTACCCTTGCTCAATTGATGTCACCGATTTGACTGGTATTTTAATAGTAAGTAGATCTAACAAAGTTAGGAAGAAACTGAAAATTTCAGCTCAAATGGCCGAGCCATTCTTGAGATATGCGCGTTACAAGACTGAAGGGGTAGGCTATATTTAGTATACCTTTTAGAGCACTACTTTTCAGTAAATTTTCCTTTTCCAGAGAACGATAAGAGATATAACCGAAATGTTTTTACCATATATACTATCGATGATGGGCTATCTTTTGGTGGCATTAAAAGTATCTTACTCTAAGACAATATTTCCTTGGTACTATATACCATTTTTAGAAAAGATGTTTCCAGAGATAAGGCCAATTGGTCGAATCAGCGCCGTAGAATTAATCGAGACTAGTCTCATTTGAAAGAGCAGATCACAATGCGTAGAATGACGTTTTCAGAATTTTGTGCAAATGAACTTTGGTAGCAAAAATTTCTTGAACAAGACTAGNCACTCACTTAAAACTTACATTGACAGTTCATGTTATAGACTCAGGTTCAGGAGAGTAGCTGTACAGTAGCTAATCTCGACTGTTCATTTGAGATACAGTTTTTATCATATTAAAGACTTTCCAATATTTGTAGCTATTCAGATTCTCATGGGTATTTAAAGCTTTCATTGCTAGTCAATTCTTATATAGCTATATAAATACTTATCAGCTATTTGTTGAAGATCACATGTTTGTAAATATCTTCATGAATAGCTGTGTAGTATCACGAAGTGATATTTAAAGATATTTGGCATGGGATTGATAAATCTCTGTAGCTGTTTAAATAGGTAGTAGCGATTTGTCAATGTTGAATGTTTTCATGAGCGGTAACGGCGTGTAGTGCGTTATTTTATGGTGTTCAGCTTTTTATTTAAGGGAAGTTAATAGCTACTAGAATAATATCGCACCATTTATTTTGAGTGTATTTTGTAGAGTAGGTGTTGCTAGATTTAAATTTTTGATTATGTTTTTCAAAGTGTATTGTTTTGTTGTTCTGTGTATTATATTTATTTTGATCAAGTTAAAAAGTTGGGTATAGAGACAAACATTCAACAGCAATTTAATCCATTTAGCAGCTATGCATTTTGTTTAAATACTAATCAACACCTTTTGCATTGCTACAATTATATTTTACAAACACTAAATTTTAAGTAGCTAGATGCATTAAATAGCTAGATACATAAAATAGCTACGATAATGCTGTAATGGCCCTATATTCTAAATAGTTATGAATCTTTGCATAGCTGTGGAAGAATCAAATAGCTGTGGCAGTTTATATATCTATGATGGTATAAAAAGCTATGAAGATTTCTTGAAATCATTGAATTCTTATTTAAAAACTGTCTCTTTTAAGAAGCCACGATCTATTTTGTGCACAGTTGCGGAACAGCTCCTACTGTGAGTGAAACAATCGTATATAATACGAATATCACACTACACAATCTTATTGGTTTTACTAAAGAATAAAAAATTTCCTACGATACTTATTATAACAAATGCATTGTGAAGAGACTACAATTTGGAAAAACATACATTTTAACGTTGAGTCAACACCAAATCTTGCTTGTTCACGAACAGAATAATAGTGCAATGCAGCGTCGTTGTTGTGTGAATCAAAACAAAGTAATACGCGGCATATATATACAAGCAATTATTGCTTAACTATTGTGCATTCAACCGTATATATTAAAAAGTGCATATCACGTATTCATAGATTTTTTTCTCCCAAGCGAAAATTATTGTGTTTTTGCTTGTTCTTTCAATTGTGCTATGAAACATTTAAACAAGAACAATACAGTCAATCAAATGGTTGGAAAAATTTGCGCTTTGTCACAGCTTCGTTTATTTTTTTCCTACCATTATCCCAATCCATATACAAACATCAATACAACACAAGCAATAGGTTTGCTGCTTGATGGTTTAATCCTGATGAAAGCGAACCTCAACGGTTTCCTTCACAAATAAGAGAAGAAAATCGATGTTCACAAGAGTTCCACTTCTAATCCATATATGCAACACAGTTTCGGTGGCATTCTTCGTATCAATAAGGAAAATAGGCTCAGTTCACGACATAAAGCCACTATTAGTCCTCGTAACGGTTCCGATCTTGGTATGAGCGCTCGACATGGCTTCATTCTCAAGGCTGTGACCACCACCAATTCTCGTCCCTACCCTGATTCCGGTTTCAATGCGGGATACACCATGCTTATAAATCAGAAAGTCACTACTGGTCTCCATGAAAGTCTTGATCTCAGTATCAATGCTCGCCACGGCTTTATTCTAAACCCGAATGCCATTATCAGCTCTCGCCCCTCTCTTAATTCTGCTCCCAATGCGACATATCCAGTCAGTGTAAATCAGGAAGCCACTATCAGTTCTCATAACAGTTCTGCTCTCACCACCAATGTTCGAAATGGCTGCATTCTCAACGCTATCGTTAATACCACTTCTTGTCGCTGTCCCGATCCCGGTATGAATGCGGAACACGCCTTAACTATAAATCATAGAGCCACTACTGGCCCTAGTAACAGTCTCAATCTCAGTATCAATGCAGGTCACTGTTTCATTCTCAACCCAAACGCCACAAAATGCTCCCATTCCTGCCCCATGCCGGTATCAATGGTGGATACCCATTTAGTGTAAACCGTAGAGCCACTATCACTCCTTCAAATAGTTTCGATCTTGGTATCAATGCTCGGCATGCCTTCGTTCTCGACTCTATAACGACTGCCAGCTTTTGCTCCCGACCTAGTTGCGATATCAATGCGGCATACCTATTTAGTGAAAATCATAGAGCCACCAGCGTCCCTCGTAACGGTTCTGATTTTGGTATGAGTACTAGACATGGCTCCATTCACGATCATATGGCCCCTACTAGCTCTCTTTCCTGTCCCGATTCCGGTATGAATGTGGAATACGCCTTAACTATAAACCATGGAGCCACTGCTGGTCTCTAAACAGCCTGGATGTCGATATCAATGTTGTCCACTGCTTTATTCTCGACCCAAACACTACTACCAGCTTTCGTCCCTGTCCTGTTTTCGATACATACTCATTCACTGTAAACTTTGAGACCTGTATGAGTCCTTCAAATGGTTCCGATCTTGGTACCCACGCTCGGCATTGCTCCATTCACGACTATGGGTGACACTTTCACTTTCTTTTTACTTTCCAAAAAGAAAGAAAAGGAAAGTTGAATTCTTTCATATTTTTAGAAATTAACAGTATCTGTATTATTCATTCCACTTTCTTCTCTTTCTATGTCGTCCACACTTTTTTTTCCTTACTATATTCAATTGAAGTAAAGGTCATCAAGGACAACAAAAAAAAAGTTAATAAGGACGAAATTTTAAACAATTAAAAATTATGAGTTATGAACAATTTCATAACATGACAAGTGAACAAAAAGATCGAATGTGTGATGGAGATGAACTTAGGCAAAGAATTCGTCAATATGAGATGAAAGAGAATAACAATGATGCTATTATTAATAATTCATTAAAAAGACATGCAACAAGTGAACGTCCAAGATATTCAGATGATGATGAAATTATTTGTGATAACAATGAATTGAATACCGGATGGACAACAGTACGTAGTTATAAACAAAAGAAAAAATATAATGATAAAGATGATAGAGTTCCCTCTCAATCAACAAGAACTTTTACAAACACAACATTTCAACAACAAGGAAATCATCAACAGAATGTCTTGACAAATAATACAAACAATAATTCAATCAGAAATAACAATAATAATATGAAAATTTCGAATCAGGCCCTTGTTTATGCTGCTGATTATCATTATTCGTCATTCAAATTAGAATGTGAACCGAAATTAAATGATAAAAAACAAGGTGTTAAAATGGTGAATGAGTTAATGAAATATATTAAAAACGATTTTTTACGTGCTTATCCTCTTTTTACTAAACCGTTATTAGTTGATCTATGATGGATGGATTCAGAGGGTAATCTTCAAATGATTATTAAAACAACAGAACTTTATATTTATTTATGTAACAAAGATAAATATCCAAGTGAATTGTTTAATTTTAAAATAAAACCAAATCCACCTGCTCATTTACCTCCACAACATGTAATTATATTAAAATGGGTAAAAAATTCAATAGTTGACAATGATATTAGAGAAGAATTGAATATGACTTATAAAAGTATTCATTCTATTTCAACTATGAATGGTACTTTAAATGATAGAACAAGACATGTAAAAATCGAATTATTCGATAAAACCGACTATGAATTAATTTTAAACAACAAAAAAATTAGTTTAATGGGTCAAATGTTCGATGTGGATGAATTTCTTCCTGCACCTAGGATTCTTATATGTGGAAGATGCAATAAACCAGGGCATACAAAAAGAAGTTGTCAAAATTCAACCTTTGACATCTGTCGTCGCTGTGGTGGTGATCGTTCAAATGCTGAAGCACATAATGATTGTCAAATTAAGTGTCACCATTGGGGTGGTCAACATATTTCAACTAATTATAAATGCCCTTTAATGGAGGAATTTCGACGTGAACTAATAAATGAACTTAAAAAACATTCGGAAAAGCTTCCCCATCACATACAACTTTTTATTCCAACTGAATATCGGAATAAAGAAGATAAAACAAAATATATTCAAAACACCTCATCTTATCAACAAAAAGAACAAAATATTGATATAAACAATCAAAGTATTTGGCCAACTCTTACATATACTTCACAGGATATGAATAATCCAATGAATATTAATTTACGTGAATCAGTGCGGTTATTAAATAATGAATTACAAGAAATGAAGAAAAAATATGAAAATGATTTACAAAAATTGAAAGATAAATATAAGGAACATCTTGATACTTTAAACCAGACATGGTTAATTATGCATCAACAACATCACACGTTTCAACAAATGTTAACTGTAATAAACAATAACATGAAACAAGTTATGTTCGTTACGTGTTTAAAAACAACAAAGACAATTTATGAAGCATTAAATAAAATTAAAACGAACAACAATGATTACAATGAAGCTATTCAACAATTAGTAAATCAAATTGAATATTTACAAGAAGCTGAATCTGTTTTTACTACACACATCAATTCATTACAACAACTCGTTGATAAACAAAATGAAATTTTAAATAAAGCACTTGATTCATTATTTAAAGACCCAAATGTTTAGTAATGATTTTAAATATTGTGATCCTGTATTAAATTATAATGTTATCGAACAATTTGATGGAACTAAAGATGCAAAAGATTATTCATTTTCTATGATAAGCGAGTGGAATGAAAAATTGTGTGTGAGTGAACTGTGTAGGCGTTGGCGTAAAGAAAGACCTAAAAGTCATTCTAAGAATTTGTCTATTCTTTTGTGGAATTGTGAAGGTTTAAGTACCCATACTTCTGACTTGGATCTTCTTCTTTCTGTATATTGTCCTCATGTGTGCATTATTACTGGAGTTGGAAGACAGATAAATAGGCTTCCCAATATTCCTTATTATAAATGGTATAGTAGAAAAGGGAGTAACAGCTTTGGGGGTGTTGCACGTCTTATTCATAACAATATTAAATCAAACTTAATAGATGAATCGGTAAACTTCTTACTTATCGAAATAGAAATATTAAATGAAAAAATATATGTTGGTGCAATTTATGTTCCACCAGGTAGTCTTCCACCTTTTGAATTATTTGATGTGCATAAAGATAAAAATATTTTTATTTTCGGTGATTATAATGCTAAACATGAGAGTTGGAGATGTGAGAAGACGAACGTTAGTGGTAATCGCCTTAAAGAATGGCTAGATCTAAATGGTTTTGAAATAATATGCACTACTAAACGAACATCAAAAAAATCAGATTCTATAATAGATTTTGGAATAGGTAAAGATGTAGAAAAGTGGAGTGTTGGGAGGATAGAAGAAGGCACATCGGATCATTATCCTGTACAGTTTTTCTCTCCGTTTACAGCTGATGAAAATGGATCGTTTAAAAAGACAAAATGGAATTTATTTACTGTTTTCCTTCAAATTATATATCCATACTGGAACTGTTTAGTTTATAATATGGAGTATAATTCCTTTTTTAACATATTTACAGAATTTTTAGCAGCTCTATGCGATAAGTGTAGTGAATATGAAAGTATAAAGAAATTTCGACCACCTTGGCCTCCATATTTAGTAAATTTGGTGAAATTAGTAAATAAAAAAAAGAGAAGATTTAGAAAAACAAGGTTTTTAGGTGATTATTATGAATTTACGGAGTTAAGAAGAATCTATTCGGAAGAAAAGATCAAATACGAACAACTAATTAGAGAGGAAAAAATAAAAAATATGAAAGATGGAAGAAACATATGGACACACGTGAAACATATGTTTCGTCCTTATTCTCCTTCATTTAAAGGTTTAACAGTTGATAATAATATTTTGAGAGACAATTTGAGTGTAGTGAATAGACTAGCTATGTATTATAAGGTACATTTTTCTGAACCTAGTATTAATTATAATAATCCATTTCATACAGAATGCCTTGAAGAATATGAAAGAATAAAAAATAATCCGAATATTCATTTAGAAAAAATAACATTGGATGAAGTAAAAATTCAATGGAACAGAATTACCTCAAAAAAGTCTTTAGATAGTACAAACACATCTGCATTTATGTTAAAAAAGATACCTGAGGTATATATACAAATAATAACAGTGCTATTTAACAAATGTGCTGAACTAGGTGAATTTTTCGAAAAAGGTAAAATTGCGAAGGGAATCTGTTTATCTAAAGAAGGAGCATTCCCTACGGAAGATCGTCTTCGTTCGATCTCGCTATTACCAAATTTGACTAAAGTTTTCGAAAGAATAATGTTGCAGCGTATAGAAAAATGGTGTAAAGAGCAAGGTGTATATGTAGATGAACAGTCAGGATTTACTGCAAATAGGAGATTACAAACGAGAATTGTAGCACTTATTGAAGATCTCAGAATTACAGTTGCAGCACCAAATAGGCCAGCTCTCTGCATTTTCATAGATTTTTTTAACTGCATTTGATCGCATGTGGTATCCAGCTTTGATGAGAACGTTAAAAAGGATTGATATGCCCTTGGGAATAAGAAAATGGATTTTTAATTGGCTTCAAAATAGATATATGTTTATTAGTTATGGAGATGTCAGTTCCGAGAACTTTCAAGTTTCTGTTGGTGCTCCACAAGGAAGTGTATTAGCTGCACTCCTTTTTCGTCTTCATATTCATTTCCTCATATCTTATTTCCCACAGATTACGTGTCATCTTTTTGCTGATGATTTATCAATGGTTATTAATGGAGCAATTGAGAGAAGATTATCTGATAATATTAAATATATACAAGAACAAGCAAATAAAGTATTAAAGTCTTTAGAGAAGTTTTCCGATGATCATATATTACCAGTAAATATAAAGAAGACTAAAGCAATGTTAATACATAGCGCTGTAAATGCCGAAAAACCTAATATTTATTATAAAGATGTTAAAATTGAATACGTGATAAAATTTAAATATTTGGGGGTTGAGTTAGGTACGAAACTAGGTTTAGGTAACTATATTAACGATCGACTGAAGAAGGTAAGGAATAGCTATTGCGCTTTAAGAAAAATATATAAAACAATTCCCAAGAATGAACTTAAAATAAGAAAAACATTATTTTGCGCGTTTTCACTCCCCCATATAATCTGGTTATTCTATACATGGTTCTACTATACCGATCAACAAAGACAGAAAATTGAACATGTGTATGGATCAGGTTTAAGATTGGTATATAATTTACTGGGTTATGAAGACTTCAGTACCTTGTGTTTAAGTAGGGAATACTCAATAAGAGATTATGTTTTAAATATTGGAACCGTTTCCAAAACCATCTAGAAAAAGCAGATGAAGCTGAATCTTTTAGGCAAACTTGGACAGCATTTATAATTGCATCTGATCCCTCTAAAAGTTATTATATGAGTATTGGAATGAGGAAAAATAATAAATTTGCTAATAGACTTTTCGAAAGAGTGCATCATACATATCTTGACCTCCTCCAATTTAACAATGCACACAAAAGACAATTACATTACTTTAAAAATACTTCATCCCTTCTTGAATTTTTGTCCTTAAATTCTATCCTCTATATTCATTTTAATATTACATTGAAGAAAGTGTGATAAAGGAAGGAAGTGTTTGATTAAAATATACTTGTTAACTTTAAAACATTATGTAAAAGTGTGTCCTTTTGAACTATCTAAAACAAATGTCTTCTTCTTCCTTTTTATATAATTATATATCTTGATGTGAATTATGTGGACGTTTCTTCCTGTTAACCCTTTTGGGAACATTACAAATAAATGTTAAAAAAAAAAAACAGTATCTGTATTATTAACAATAGAGATACTAAAATAATCACTTCATATTAGTAACTCGAACAAATCTTTATTTTCGTTTTTCTTTTCATTCATTTTTTATCACTTCAAGCTACGCTCCTATGACTGGTGCTCGATATCTGTTTCTTTCAACCTTTCTGTTTATTTAACATTTTCCATGTTTGCATGCTGCTTCATCGCATTATGCTGCACTGAAGAGATTCTCTTCTTCCCTCTTATGGCAAGAAAAAAGTATCAGGCATGGTTCTGGTCTATTCTCCAATAAGTTTTGGATGTTTGTTAATAAAAGAGATTGATTAGAAAGAAAAATGTTGTTTTCTTTTCTTATCAATTGTTTCCTGTAAATACCATTCAATTTTGAAATCATTGACGCATTTTTCAAGAGTTTAAATAAAATTTTAGATGGAATACATTTTACATATACTATGCAAGCAGTCTAACTATCGTGTTTTTCTTATTGCTGAGAAAAATAAGCCTATAGAGTGAGAAAACCATGATATATGCACGAGTTTGTAATGTCGTTATAAATTAGAATATATCGATAAGAGTTGAATACCTTACGAACGCAGAGAACTAGTGGTTTTTGGCTTTCACGATTCGGAAGTGGGTACTAGCGACATCAATCTATGCCAATTTCAAAAATTTGAAGGATAGTCGTAAATGATTTCTGGAAGGTCCTCTGAAAATTGCCTTTCCGGTTAGAAAGCGTTATTAAATTTTTGTTCTGACTTCATCAATGTAACAATCGTGAATCACTAATTTCACACCTGATTTTATCAAAGTTTTAAGATGAGACTAATTTCTCGCACTTAAGCATCAGTAGGAATTCATTAAGAATCAGGAAGTAAACAGAGAGACAGCTCAAAACATATAGGAGCTTATATTAGATTAAGTAACTAGAATAGTAGAAAGCAAAAAAACATGTCTTAAGGCCGAGTAATGTCAAGAATGAGTGAGATAACTCAAGAAACAAAAAGAAAATAATTCGAAAATGTCAACCACATGTCTCTTAGAACCTCAAATCATAAATATATAATATATGTGAAAGCTTATAAAACTTATAATTCATCTCCATAAATAATTTTCCTTTCCTTTCTTTTAGGAAATGAAGGTAGAGAAAGTTAAAAAGCTTTCCTTATCTAAGGAAAGGAAAGTGAAAGTGCTACCCCTATTCGCGACACTATGGTTACTAACAGCTCGCATCTCTGTCCAGATACCGATATCAATGCGCGATACATCTTAATTAAAAATGATAGAGCGACTATCATTGATCGTAACGGTATCGATCTCTGTATGAATACTGGACATGACTTTGTTCTAGACGTCTGCACTACTTACAGCTTCCATCCTCTTCCGACTCTGTTATCAATGCAGGATGTGCCTTTACCGTTGATCATAGAGCCTCTGCCTGTCCTCATAGAGGTTCCAACTTGAACATCAATGTTGAACACGACTTTATTTTCCACTCTGCGACCACTGTCAGCTCCAGTCGTTGTCTCGACTCCGGTATCGATGAGGAATATGGCTTAAATATAGATCATAGAGCTACTGGCGGTGCTCGCAACGTTTTTGACTTTTGTATCAACGCTCGACATGGTTTTCTTCTAAGCCGCTCCGACAGTAAAAGTTGTCGTTTATCTTCCGACCCAAGTCACAATGAAAAATACATCTTACATGTAAATAATAGAGTCACTAACAGTCCTTATAACGGTTCCACCTTCAATATCAATGTTGAAGACGCCTTATCCTCGACTCTATTGCGTACTGCCAGCTCTCGGCTCTTTTCGTCTTG